TCGAAATATGAGCTGTGAAAGCTAAGATATTGATTTTTTTTATTTGTCTTATTTCTATTGGTGGTAGCGCAGATAATACATATCGATATACTGTATATAGTATATGTATACCAATACCGTATATAACTGACGAAGATACGTATACAGACCACTGGACGTTAAATAAGCTATACGAATTCGTATAACCGATTTAAAAAAAATTTTTTATCAAAATTAGGATAAATTGTTGTTTAAAGTTTAGTAATTGACTACTAAAAAAAAAAAAAAAAAAGCAAAAATATTTTATTTAATTTGTTAGAAAAAAAATTTTTTTTCGTATGATTGATTAAAAAAGTTTTATTCAAATTAGGATGTGTGTTGAAATGCCTTTGTTCTTTAGACAAAGATGTCTCAAAAGTCATCTATCCTAATTTAATTTAATAGAACTATATATATTTTAAAAAAAAAAATTTTTTACATATTTTTTTAAAAAGATAATTATTGTAATGCGAATAATAGAATCGGGTGCTAAAAACATTCTTTTATTAATAATATTTAAAGTACATGGTGCTGTAGTGATGGTATACGAATAATACGTAGAATCGGAGTGTCTTTTATTATAAATGGGTTATATTATTTTTCTATCTGATACAGTAATATACAATATATAAATATTTAAATATATAGAGTTATTATTATTGTTATATATATACAATATATTAATTCTTAACAAAAAATAGCTAATAAAATGCATATTCTTTAGCAGTAGAAAACTTATAAATATTAATATATTTTATAAATTTACATTTTCAGAAAAAACATATAATATTACCTATAAAGTATAATATACTGTATACGTACTGTAATTGTAAAAAAGATAACACAAATAATATAACTAATGCTACGTATAATATATTCATATAGTAGTGCAACGAGGTTATAGAATTGTTGTTCGTACGTACTATTGCGGAGGTACTGTACGTGCATATGTAACTTTAAAATATGTACATTACATGTACTACAGTATACCTGATATGTACTATTCGTACGTACGTACGAACAAGCGAACGTGTTTACGTGCGTATATAATATACGTACTTGTTGGTAGAAAGTTAAGTTCGAAGATTTCATAACATATTATTCCGAAAAGACAAAGAAATCATCAGCGTCCACTCCACATTTCAAGAAACCATCAGTAGTATCATAAATATCAGCAAAATATGGAGGTATATCCAAATAATTATAAATCCAAGAATCATTTACAATTTTTTTTATCGCGTCATAAGTATATTGATATTCTCTACCCACACCTTTATAAATAAATGAATCATCTACTTCTTTCGTAAAATCCTGTTGTTTTAAAATTTTAGTTTGAAGATGTGGTAAATGAGTATTTATTAATTTTTGTACCATAAAATGAAGCTCTGACGCTCTTTGTGTTAATGAAGGAATGCTATCATCATTGCATTTGACGATGGTTTCCTCGATTACAGGTGAAGTGCTTGCCGAACAATTTAACGATGAAGAACTCGAAAAATTTTGTTGTTGGTATGATGAAATTGAAGAATCATCTTCATCTTCAGTTGTTAAAGAAGAAGAGGAAGGTGGAGGTGATAACGATGAGTCGGTTTCTGTATTTACTATCGATCGATACATTATGAAAAAAAAAAAAAATGAAGGTTTGTGAAGTCTGAATACTGGAATATCTGAATGTATTAAATAAAAGAGAAAGTTAAATTTATCAACCCAGATGATATATATGATACTTTCATCATCATCAAATTATCATGTAATATGATATTTAAGTTTGATGAATTGTTTGCGTCATTGAAGATATTGTTAATTAATACTATTGTAAAAAAAAAATTAAAGATTTTCTGTTCACATTTTCAATTCACAATAAGAAACTTTTAAGATAAAATTATTTGGATATTATAAACCCAAATTTTATTACATATTTTTTATTTTTTTTTTATAAATGTGCATAATAAAGTTAATAACATCAAATATGAACGCTAAATGAGCGCTAAATGTATTTGCATAGTATTTATCATTGTAATATGATTAGCATATAATATAGAAAATTTTGTTTTGTTTTGTTTTTTTTAGAAAGGAGATTTGGCTAAACGAAGGTAGGGCAATGGTGCTTTATAATCAGGGAATAATGTTGCTGCTTCTTCATTAGAAACGCTAGGATGAATAATGACGTCATCGCCTTTCTTCCAGTTAGCTGGAGTAGTAATACGATGCTTGTCACCAAGTTGAAGAGAATCAATGACACGAATAATTTCATCAAAGTTACGTCCTAAAAATTATTTATTATGTTATTAATAGGTATTCACAAATTGTAATTTTAAATATACATATATATATATTATATGTATTTACCAGTTGAAGCAGGATAAGTTATCGTCAGTCGGATTTTCTTTTTTGGATCAACTATAAAAACACTTCTGACGGTAAATGGAGTTCCCTTGGTATCAACATTGGTAGGATCTTGATAATCCAACATGTCATATAAAGTAGAAACTTTACGTTCCGCATCCGCAATAATTGGGAATCCAACATTAACTTTATTGACATCATTAATATCTTTCACCCATTTGTGATGGTCTCCCAATTCATTAGCAGAAAGACCAATTACTTTAACATTACGTTCTTCAAATTCTTTACTACGACGTGCAACTTCTCCGAGTTCTGTAGTGCAAACCGGAGCTGTGTGAAGGTGATATTTAATTAGATTAATAAAATTGTTTTTCCTTTATTTTACTTATTAATTTATTGTTATATGAAACTTACTAAAATCTGCTGGGTGAGAAAATAAGACAACCCAAGAGCTACCGATAAATTCGTGAAAATCGATATCACCCTCAGTAGTTGTTGCTTTAAAATTAGGGGCTTCGTCACCAAGGCGGAGAGGCATCTTCGTTAAATTTGTTTTCGTTAAATTGGTTTTTTGAATTTAATAATGAAGCGAGAAACAAGCAAATCTCGTTAAAAAAAAAAAACTGAATGTTAAAGTCTGCTTATTATATATAAAATTTGAATTTTTTGATTATTAATCGGTGTAGTGTGTGGATCACGCAATTTTGGTGAAATCTTAGCATCTTTACTTTTTTAAGTTTCTTTTTTTTAATTGATAATCTGTAAAATCTTATACTTTTATATAATCGATATTAAATATTTGTGTTAATTGGATGTTTGTGTTATGATGATTTTTCCTTATTTTTATTATCTATATAATATCGATATTGTATATATATCTATGTTATTGATTTTCCCATACATCATCTTAATTTATGTTTATTCATTATCATGTGGTATGTCCTTTTTACCCGGTGATTCTATTTAACATTTTGTACGTAGAATGAAAATTTTCCATTTATAAGAAGAGGTTAATGCGGTGCTGTGTTACAGTTTAACAATTATTAATTGAGTAATTTTTACTGGTAAAATTGTTTCCCAATATTTCTTATTAAATCCCATAACTAGATACAGTACGTATCATATTTTTTTGTCTCCTTTTGATTCACAATTCATATAATTTCGTTATTTCACGGTATATAATACGGTAATCGGTAGATCAATATAAAAATTTTGGTTCACTCTAACCAATTCTTTCTTTCATAATGTTGTAAGTTGCAGGTAAATGTTGGTCAATTTTTCGTTTAACGTTTCACGCAGGGAGTGGCAAATTAAGCATTCACTAATATTAGTGGCTGGTATATCATAATGTGATCAATTGTCATTGTAAGATGTATTAACTGATAATCCAATTTCAAACAGACTTGATATAGATTTAAAAGCACAGAATAATTGTACTTATTCGGAATTTTCTATTTATCGGATTTTGCATTTACCAACTGTTATCCGGCATTTAAATTTTATCATTTTTATCCGGATTATTTTAAATCCGTACACCGGATTTAAAATATTCGAACAACGTGCGTAACTCACGTGCATAAAAATGATAAAATTTCAATTCTAATACTAGTAAAGCGCTATCGCGCTTTACTAGTATTAGAACACTATTGTACCTTACCATTATTTGCCATATGATTTGACTGGTCGAATTTTAAGCACCGAAGGTGCTTAAATCGACCAATCAAATAGTATACAGCAAATAACTATTAATTATTATAATATTATGGATGCTGTGACCTAGTCAGGAATTATTAATAAAAGGCTAGAAAAGTTATGGTCTGAGCAAATTGTTTAGAATTGAATCAGACTAAGATCAGACTTGATTAGTTTAGAGTGGGCCAGATAACATCAATAAGTGTTTTTAAGCAGGCTTGTTATTCAATTTTGTTATTTATAATATTGTACATATGAATTTTAAGATATTTTAATAATCACCTGCTCAGTGTTAATATTTTGATGTTTTATACATCATTGATTCATTGTCTAATTGTACATTGTTCAATTGGTAATTTTGATATTAAACTTACTAATTTATTACAGATACTGTATATTGTTTTAGGGTTCCGAAGTTTGATTTGATAAGTTTGAATTTGACAAACTTTCAAATCAAACTCAAACTTAAACATTAAATTTTAACAAGTTTTCAAACTCAATTATCACTGTTTTTGAAATAGTTGAAAATGACCAACAAAAAATTTTTTTGTGAATATAATACTTGAATACTCAATTATATTGCACAATAATCACATTGATCAAAAATTATGTACATATTAGGGATCAGCAGGTCAGTCTCATGCCCATGCCTAACAAAAAGCATAAGCATAAAATCTTAGGCATGGGTACGGACTAGAGGCCTGCATTGGGTTCTAAAGCCCGGCCCGGGTCTGCCCAGCCCAGTATGTGGGCCTGGGCGGGCCGGGCTGAAATTTTGAAAAAAATTTATATTAAAAATTTGTGGGCTAGGCCAAAACGGGCTGGGCTTGACAAAAAAATTTTAACTGCAAGCAGACCCGAGCTGGCAAAAAATTTGTAACCCTAATTGTGGGCCGGGCCCAGGCCTTAAAATTAAAAATTTGCAGGCCTCTAGTATGGACACAAAAATTTGTCACAGGCATGGATATAGCACAAAAGTTTGGCATGAGTTGGTATGAGCATGGGCATAGATACAAAAATGTGACCAAGAATATTCATAAGTAAAGATGTGAAGTGCCAGGTATAAGTTGTCATTTAGTGCTTGCAAAATTCATGCCTGTGCTCTTATAGTGCCTGCCTATGCTCATAATGTATCTGGCAATTTTGTGCCTAGAAACACAGGCATGGCTCAAGGTATTAGTGTCTGTCCTGATATTTAATTTGCCTAGTATAGGCATTTGCAGATCTCTAGTACATATATATATATAGTAATTGTTATTATTATTAATGTAATCAAGTATTTGAGTATTTATGATATTTACAAAAATTTTTTTTGCTTGTTATTTTCATCTATTTTAAAAGCAGTAATAAATCAAATTCAAACTTAAATATAAGTTTGATTTGAGTTTAGTTTGATGTTTGTCAAGTTTAAATATATATAAATATATTTTTTAGTGCTGAACAAATTTACTTAAAATATGAAGACAGAATTAATTAGTAAAATTTTAAGAATTTAATATTTTTTATTTTTTATTTTATTTTTTTTATATTAAGCAATTCTGCTTCTATTTATTTTATAAACTATTATTATACAAATAACAATCTAGGATAGTGTATCGCTCTATTTTAATAAAAACCTCAACTATTAGTCTTATGGTAAGATCTGAAACTTTCTTCAGATTTTGTATTGACAAAGGATACCCCTCTTAATCATTTGACAAGTTGTTGTATATCACGTCAGGATCTCTTTTTTCCTTTCTAATTCTTTCTTCTTTTTAAGAAGCATAAAACAAAAGGGAAAGATTTTCCAACAAAGAATAACAAAAACAACCAGAAAAAAACAAAAAAAAAAAAACACTGATTGTGAAAAAGAAAAAATATAAAAAGAAATCTAAACCTTTTAAGACACTATTATAACCCATGCATGGCTGATAAAAATTATATACCAAATACAATATTTGTATATCTTTAATTAAATTTACTTTTTAACATTTTCACCAACTCCAAATTGCTTCATTGCCTGTTCTAATTCATATCTCAAGCCAGGAGCTGCTATTATCCAAGAACCTGTATCTTAAACCACCTGCTACTATAATTAGAGTTCTCAGACTGAATCTCATAAAAAAGCGTCACATTCGTTTGTAAACAAACATGTAGTTGCATTTTGCTAATCTATCCAAATTTGAAAAGTAACCAATATCGATCTTTTGGAGAAGATAAGCCAAATCCCCAACTTTTTGTTAAAATTTTTTGGAAGACCGATAGAAAGATAAAAAAAGTAAAAATGAACCACTTGACTAGGTAAAAAGAGTGCAGCTTAAAAAGAATAATATAGTATTTTGTTGTTTTCTAGTGTCTTCAAAGAAGTATAGTCTAAAAGCTTCATTAACAAAGAAAGAGGAGTATCCAAAAAGTCCTCTTTTTCACTAAAATTTTTTATACAAAGCCACCTCCTGCTAGAAGCCTGCATTGGGTCCCAAAGCCCGGCCCGGCCCAATGTGCGGGCCTGGGTGGGTTTAAAAAAAATTTTTATAAACACGGGCTGGACCAGGCCGAAAATTTGAAAAAAATTTATATTAAAAATTTGCAGGCCGGGC